TTATTCGGTGAGCTCTGTAATCTCTACCTATGTTTAGACTATTTATCCATTTAAATGGACCGTGGATATCATATAAATAAAATATTTATTTCTTTATCAACCATTCACTATCTAATTTGACCACAAGGTCTGCTTTAAACCTTTACAATTATTTTAAAAAAAAAACCTACTTCCGTTTTCGATGACTATTTTATGTTTGCGTAGAAAATATCCAGACAGTTATCTTTGTTGTCATGTCGATTATAATATTTTCGGATATGCATATAGCGTTTAGTGAACTACATACTCAGCAAAACTATTTATTGATGGAACATTGTGTTCATAACCGTACTTTATAAAGAAAATTTGGGAAAGTTGTTGTTATCCGCACTCGCCTGTCTGTCACACCATCTTCATCCTTAAACTCCTCTTACATTTCAACAATAGCCAATTTATCTTTCGGAATATTGTAGATGTGCAAGGGCGCAAAATTAAACCTTACACCTTTTTCAAAACTCCTTTATAAACAGATTTTATGCTTCATTAAAATTAACTAAATTTCAGACTGTTAATGCATTCATTTTAGGAAATACAGATGAAGTACATGGGCCAAATGCTCACCTGAGTGTTTTGTGCTCAATTTGACACATCTGTATGTGTAATTTGTAAATTATAGATTAACCATTGTGGCTTCTCCGTTAGTTGCCGACATACGAAAGAGCGTGCAAACTCTCGTGCAGATTTCACTGCTTAATGTCAGCATCTAGTTTTTCATAGAAGAAGACTCGACTTTCATTCCAAATGAAAAGTTTTAATTCTAGGTATTACTGCAATAGTGATAGTTTTATGTTGTTTTTTAAATTATTATAATATTCAAATGTATAATTTATTAATTATACATTTATGAATATGCCACACCTGATTTTAAATTATTTGTCTCTGTCAATAATGATTGACACACAGATAGATACATGCACTTCAGAGTTTAAAATCAGTTGTGGAATATTCATAAATGTATAATGAATAAATTATACATTTGAATATTATAATAATTAAAACAACATAAAATTATCACTATTACATAAATGAATAGAAACGTCATAAGAGTTACCCCTATTAAATTAAAAAATACCTTGGAAATCAAGCTGGATCCAGCAAGAATTTTTCCGGGCGGGAAGGAAATGTTCCATAATTCAAAAAAAAAAAAAAAAAAAAAGAACAACGTAAAATCTACTTGTGGGGTGGTGTGGGGGTGGGGGTTGTTAAGTAGGGGGTTTCGGTTGGTCGACTTTCATGAACAAGCAACTTTCCTCCATATTTGTCATTCTTCCTACCAATATGTTCAGAGTTAACGTTATTTGGGGAGTGTTTTACCGTATAAGCAGAATTTTTAGCGAGGATTCAATTTTGGCATTATTAGGGAGGATTATTGATCGCTAAAATTGCATATCGCTAACAATTCATTCAGCACTAAGGAGGCAAGGCTATCGTGCAAGATATTGTCAAATCGCTAAAATTACATTTTGCTAAAATTATATACAGATTTTTACGGCTAAATCACTAATTTTACGTCTCGCTAAATATTCAACTAATACAGTATTTTACTGCGTATGAAACGTTTCCTGTGACGCATGTAATCAATAAAAAGGCTTATGGGGAACCCTGCAACAAAAAGATCGTTTATTAATGATGTAGCACATTTAAAATAATTCAAAATAAATTTAAAATAAAATTAATTTCCTTTTTCTTTGAAAGTGTGATTTATATGACCATTTTCTGCAGGTGCCCACAAGAGCCTGTGGTAGTACTGAAGATGGAAGACGATGTATTCGTTCCCGAGAAAACCCGAACTCTCCGTCCATAGAATATGTTTCCAGTAAGTTATAGTTATTCAATTTCAGATGAAAAGCATTATTGTACATTTTTCAATTGTAAAACGTAAATGTAATGATAGGTGTTTTTTTTTAACGGTTGTTTAAATTTTGTGATTCAACTGAAATTATAGAATGCTAAAGTTTTCGCATCTTTCGTTTACTGATTCAATGGAAATACAGAATTAAAAACACCACAACTGGAAAGTAACTTTTAAGGATTTAAAAGGTACACAACACACACACACACACACACACCCTTGTTTGTAAATCCAGCCAACTGACTACATTTGAAATTTTACCTTCATCTCGCTTCACCGATTTAGAGGCTTGAAAAAGAGAAAGTAAGACCAGAATATACCGAGGTTAACCTTAGGATTTCTCTGTATCTATAGGAATTTTTGATATCTTTTACTTTAAGTATATTGAAATTCGACATGAATCTCACTACATTTTTACACTTATTGAACACACACGTGCAAATCAGTACAGCTAATTCAACCGTCAATTCACTACAAGGTTATAAACACACAGGAAAATCGCTACAGCTAGTGATCATGTTTAATTTTTTAATTGCACCGTTTATTTTATTTTATTTACTGGTATAAATGGTGTATGTATGTACAAGACAGTACACAAGATCAAAGGAAAAGATTGGATATACGGCAAATATGTATGTTATCAGAGCTGTTCCCATGTTGACATATACATGTATACAGCATGTACAGCGCCGGTCTAACATAAACTCTAATAACATTAATCTCAGAGTCGATAATTGAAGATATCTTTTAATAATCATTAATCTCAGAGTCGATAATTGAAGATATCTTTTAATAATCAAGGACATCATCAATTCATTTTTTATTATTAATAATGGAATGAACGATACTTTCTTTTAATGAAAGAACGGAAAAAATCTTTTTTTAAGACAATCTCTAAGTTGATTCTTTGCGAGTAAATTTTCCGCCACTGTATTGATAGGCCTATCTTCGATTCAATTGATAAGCGCATCAAATCAATTATTGCTCTCCTTTATTGAATAGTTGCGCGTATAAATCCAGCTGATGAGAGGAATAACTGATCTGATGCTCTCACTCATTCAGAAAATGTATTTCAAGCAGTATCCTAAGCATTTCTTGTATCTTTTCTTTCCATGTAACATCTGTGCAAGATTCGTTAAGCTAAAAACTAGTCCCCTACTGGTAAAAAAGGTTCTTTCCTCAACTGTCTGCCTGTCTGTCCCTCTGTAAGTCCTTCCCATGGCACTTGAATTTTCCGCCCTTTTTCTACAGCTTGCAAATATTGAACTGATGTTTGGTATGTGAGTCTACCTTTACTAAGTTACAGATCAAGTTTGAATTTCCGCTTTCAAGAGTTTTGACGGAATTACGGGCATTTCAATTTTTTAGGAGAACCAGATAACATTTGCCGGTAGGGTGCTAGCATTGCATATGCAATACTCTCAAAATGCTTGTTAAAGTTACGAAAAAAGCTACTCCCTAAGCACCTAAATGGTCACTTTTGCTGATAATGAAGGAAAAAGCAGCATCCGAAGCAATACTGCTATTATCAGCAGTCAATATTAGCTGCTCGGCATTAAGCTAGATAACTTGCGATTTATAAGTTCTTTCAAAATTTAGAGTAGTGGCATGTTTGAAATATATATTCTTTCAGCATCGAATTTTCTTTAAATTTTTCCCAAAAAATCCCTGTGTGAAGAATCGTGTGGTCAGTTAGTAAAAAAACAAAGTCGAACGTCAATTCATCATAGTTTCAAAACAGTAAATATTCCGTGATCTGGGTAACCAAAAAGTTAGTGGAATTAATTGTATTAATGATAATTCATTCTCATTAATACCCAATGATAATCGCCCAAGTTCAAGTGCAAGTTCAGTTTATTCACCCAACCCAAAATAATAGTACATGGGATACATTTATAACATATATATATATATATATATATATATATATATATATATATATATATATATATATATATATATATATATATATATATCATATAAACTGTTCAGAGGTACAATATCTATATATACAATGCAAAAACATGATAAAACATAGGTAATCAGAGATTACAGAGCTCACCTCAACGAATGTTGTCTTTAAGTAAGGCAAAGTCCCACACTAAACTAATAATCTAGGAGTGTGCATCCCTAGATGCAACATTTATGCAATTTTGGTCTGATAGGGCTTGCAGTTACTTGGGAATGGACTTATCTGAAAACTTAAAACTAGACACTCATTCTGAAAATGTAAGTCAAATCCAGCTTCCTAAGCAAGTTTTGAGATTGTTCGTCCCTTGATGCATCATCCATGCAAGTTTGGTTCAGATAGGCCTTATAGTTACTTGGAAATGAGATCTGCTCCAAAAACTTTAATCTGGTCACTCATCCGGAAAATATAGGTCAGATCCAGCATCTGAAGCAAGTCCAGTAGTGTGCATCCTAAGATGTATCATCCATGCAAGTTTGGTCAATATAGGGTTTATAGTTACTTGGAAATGACATCTGCTCCAAAAACTTTAACCTGGTCACTCATCCAGAAAATGTAGGTCAGATTCAGCATCTGAAGCAAGTTCAGTAGTGTGCATCCTTAAATGTATCATCCATGCAAGTTTGGGCAATATAGGGTTTATAGTTACTTGGAAATGACATCTGCTCCAAAAACTTTAACCTGGTCACTCACCCGGAAAATATAGGTCAGATTCAGCATCCGAAGCAAGTCCAGTAGTGTGCATCCTTAAATGTATCATCCATGCAAGTTTGGTCAATATAGGGCTTTTAGTTACTTGGAAATGAGATCTGCTCCAAAAACTTTAACCTGGTCACTCATCCGGAAAATATAGGTCAGATCCAGCATCCGAAGCAAGTTCAGTATTGTGCATCCTTAGATGTATCATCCATGCAAGTTTGGTCAATATAGGGCTTATAGATACTTGGAAATGAGATCTACTCCAAAAACCTTAACCTAGTCACTCATCCGGAAAATGTAGGTCAGATCCAGCATCCGAAGCAAGTTCAGTAGTGTGCATCCTTAGATGTATCATCCATGCAAGTTTGGTCAATATAGGGCTTATAGTTACTTGGAAATGAGACCTGCTCCAAAAACTTTAACCTGCTCCAAAACTTTAACCTGCTCCAAAAACATTAACCTGGTCATTCTTTAGCTGAAATTGCAGCATCTGAGACCTTGACTGGTACAATGAAACACACTAGAAGCATCCTCCATGCATCTCTGACTAATATAGGCCATAGAAGTACTTGAAAAGAAAACTGCTCCAAAAACCTTAACCTGGGACGCCGACGCCGACGCCGACGCCGAGGGTATTACATAAGCTCCCCCAACTTCGTTGAGGTGAGCTAAAAATGAATAATGATAATGATAAAAATACTTCGCCGTTCCATTTTTAACCATTTTCAAGAGAAAATTCTTAAAAGATTACATATAGTAATATACCCTAATGTATAGTTAAGAAGATGCGAAGACTCCCTGACCGCTTGGAAAAGTGTGTTTTAACATCCTACTACTCAGATCGACCGGTGGGGGAGACTTTCAATGATTTGAAAATACGCTATCTAACAAGAAACATGTGGTTTAGCTAGAAAATGCTAAAATGCATTCTCTAAACGGACAGTGTGTCTCAAGCCGCCTCAATACCCTTGATAGATTCAGGGCAAAGCCCAGATGATGGCGCAGAGGACTAAAGTCCCTGAAAGCTCCGGAATTTTGACGATGCAAAGCCATTTTATTCACAGAAGAAGTTGGAGAATAGATATATTTTTGTTCTTATTCTAGTGAGGCATACTGGGCGACTGATATTTCTCGGTACTACATTAATAAAGTATTTGAAAATTTTTTAAAGAAGATAAATCAATCATAAGTTAATGAAATACATTATAACGTGTACATAAACAGAAAATTTAAAAGGGTGTTTTAGTGATAACATTTTTGTATCGTGTTCCTACAATGAATTTCAGTATAAATATGAAAGTAAAAATTAAGAGAAAATTCATATACGAAGATGGCTTTCTATGCAAACTTCGTGATAATTATAGTTTTGTCAAGGATAAAATATGTACAACCTTTGATTTTGAGTATCCTATGCCCTGAAGGAGTATTAATTTTTTTTTAATCAATTTACTTTGGGGGAGACTAAACGATGTGCATGCTTGAGCATACAAGGAAATATGGAAGCTCTGCCATACCAGCCAAATTAACATACTTTTTATGTTACTTGTGTTAAAGATATATTCAAATAAAGCATGTAAATTGAAATGATAAAAAAAAAACATGTGATAATTGGTTAGAAATTTTAAATATTTCAGCAATATTAATAATGCCATCACATTGTTGGGGCTCGAGTTAAATTCCACTGATGAGAAGAATGACTGAATTTAATTGCTGCTAGCATCAAATCAATTACTGATCTCATCAATTCAAATGATGCGCGCCTTAATTTTTCTAATGTTTGCCAGCATCAATAATTCGCATTAATTCAATTGATGAGAGCAATAATTGATTGGCACTTCAGTTCTTTTGAGAGCAATGATTGATTTAATGATATATTTCAAGTAATTTAAGATGACTTCACTATTTCGTGTTTAAGAAATACAAGAATACAAGAAAACAATGGATAAATGTATTAAAGAATATTCTTTATCTATAACGTCAAAATTAGAAAATTTACAGAAAAGTGATATTAAGGAATATTGGAGAATTTTAAATAGTTCGAAGGCTAGATGTAAAACTGAAGTTGATATCAAAGCAATGTACGCTTTTTTGAAGAAAAAAAAATAATGAATCTAAAGATGATGAAGGTGATGTAGATGATAATGATGTCAATTTCGATAATAACTCCCCTTTAAATTGTCAAATCTCTGCAGAAGAAATCTTGCAAGCAGTTAACAAACTGAAAAATAATAAAGCTCCAGGGTATGATCAATTCTGTAACGAATATATTAGTACAACAATATCATGTTTTTTGCCACTATATGTTGACCTTTTCAATTTGATTTTTGATACTGGTTTTGTACCTGAGGAATGGCTTATTGGTATCGTTAAGCCAATGTATAAAAACAAGGAAGACCCACCTCTTCCTGAAAACTATAGACCAATAACACTATTAAGCTGTTTAGGAAAAGTATTTACCAGTATTTTATGTGAGCGTTTGGATACTTTTTCTGATGAATTATAATTGATTACTGAAGCCCAAGCTGGCTTTAGAAAAGGATATGGTACAAAAGATAACATATTGATATTAGATTTTTTGTGTAAATTTGTTTCTTTTAGTAAGAAAAAACTTTATTGTGCATTTATTGACTTTAAACAAGCCTTTGATGCTGCTTGGCGATCGATCTGGTTTGTGGTCCAAAGTGTTTAAAAGGGGTATAGATGGTAAATGTCTAAGATTTATCAAATATATGTACAGTGGTATTAAATCGAAGATATATATTGATCAAAATATCTCTGAATTTTTCATGTGTAACCTTGGGGTAAGACAAGGGGAAAATTTATCCCAATTTCTTTTTACTTTATATATTAACAATTTAGAAAACTATTTATTGCAGAATAATATTGAAGGGGTTACGAGATTTGATGAAAAATTAGAAATTGAAATGCAGATAATATTTAAACTTTTTAGACTTTTTTATGCTGATGACACAGTTTTATAATCTGATAATCCAGAGGATTTACAAAGATCTTTGAATATTTTCTCTGATTATTGTGACCATTGTAAGCTTCAAGTAAATACAGACAAGAATAAAATAGTAATTTTTTCTAGAGGAAGAATACCAAAGAAAATATTTTTGTATAGAGGTGCACCAATTGAAATTGTGAACGAATTTAAATATTTACAATGTATTTGTTATCATGTCTCGTAGTGGTTTCTTCAGAAGTGCCAAAACACATTTAACTAAACAAGCATCAAAAGCCATGTATGGAGTACTTAGAAAAATAAGGTATTTTAATTTACGGTATACACTTAAAATTTCTGAAATTTGTTTTACATGTTAAATCCAGCACTCCAAATTGTATGGTATATATATGGGGAAACTGGGCGATACCCTTTAATAATACGTATAAAGGCACGAATGATTACTTATTGGGCTAAACTTTTGATGTCACATGAACGTAAGTTTACATATATAATGTATTGCTTTCTCCATAAATGCTTTTCTGAAGGTTTATTTATGCATCACACATATTAATAAGGTACACTACTAACACAAATGTCGAGTCACTATACTACTAACACACATGTCGAGTCACTATACTACTAACACACATGTCGAGTCACTACACTACTTACACACATGTCGAGTCACTACACGACTGAAATATACATTAAAAATAACAATATTAAATCACACGATGAGCTATACCAGAAACACATATAAAATTATACATTCCCAACACATGAGTCACCATACTACATGTACAACTCACATAACAAACAACAAAATTACCACACATAATAAGCTACACTACTAACACACATGTGGAGTCACTACAGAACTAACACACATGTCAAGTAACTACAGAACTAACACACATGTCGAGTCACTACACTACTAACACACATGTCGAGTCACTACACTTCTAATATATATTAATTACAACTAACAATATTAAATCACACACAATGAGTTATACCAGTTACACATATAAAATTATACGTTACCAACACATGAGTCAACATACAACATGTACAACTCACATAACAAACTAGAGGTATTGTGAGCACTGAACTCACTGAAGGATACCCCCGCCTCCGATATGATTATAAAGGCAAAGTCCATGTTTTGCTCTGAGAGACCCGAAATAAGTGACAGATCAAAAAGTAATATACGAGGTCCACAATGGCACTATGTAATAAAAGATCGGGGGGGGGGGGGGGTAAGCTCCTGGGTTTTCGTGTATTTTAAGAGTAAAACCAGGCATAATAATAGGGGTATTGGTTAGTTTATATGTACCAAAGTTTGGCATTATTAATACTAGTCATATCATACTTTGAATAGAGGGGGCCCAGGGGGCGAAGCCCCCGGAAGCTCCTGGGTTTTCGTGTATTTTAAGAGTAAAACCAGGCACAAAAATAGTGGTATTGGTTTGTTATGTACCAAAGTATGGCATTATTGATATCAGTCATATCATACTTTGAAAATTTTAGGGGGGGGGGGCGTGCGCCCCCCACGCCCCCCTTAAATCCGCCAGTGGTTGTCATATTGACAAGATGAGAAAATCTGGGAATAAAAGGGGAAAATTAGCATTCCCTGGAGGTTAAAAAAGGTTTGAGTACAGCCATTTTGAAGCAGTCGGTCGGGAGAGGACAAACAATTTTTTAAAGATGACCTCATCATATTCTGTATGGCCTTGCCATACAGGTTTACGTATGAATTGATATTATTTAAATATCAGAAATGAGCGATATTCATAAATCATAGCATGTATATTAAATAAGTTTCTGACTGAAGCATACCTGGGAATACAGAGGGGATACCTTTTATATCAAATTGAATTTTTAAGTTCGCCCTGGGGCTTACTCTAGGTTGCACACCAGTATCAAATTTCAATAATTATATATTAATTATTACCAAAATTACGAAAATTATAGAAGACATACATGTAACTCGTCGAAAACAAACTCCTCGAGAATTTTTTTTCAGACTTTATAAGACAATGCTTTCTAAGCATACAAAAACTTCCAGACAGGCAAGCGAGTTTATCGAAGTCGAACAGGTGCTTGAAAGTGATGCACAGGACTTAACCAGCCTTCCTTAAATACGGTATACAAAAAAACAAAAAACAAAAAACTACAGGACTGCTTTGTTCTCACATCTGGTAAAATTTTCGAGGGAAGTATTGAAAAATAAATGTGCGTTGGCCACGTTTTGACGTAAACCTTTAGTTTTTACGCTATCCAATAAACCCTGTCCATAATTTTCACTTTTTAACAGAAAGATACACTGTATCTGAAATACAGAGGGTCGACCTTTTACATCGTGTATATTCCAACATACGGGGTGTATGCTACGTTGTGCACGGGGTATATGCTTTCGGGGCGATAAAAAGGGGGTCAATGTATCCTTTTTGTACATTATCAATATTTCAATTTATGGATATATTTCGCCGGAAAGCATATGCATACGGAAGAAAGCATTATCTAAGAAGTATATGGATACCTATGAATCCACTGTACACTTTCTAGTTTTATCAAACACCTCAACACAATTCCGAGGATCAGAGCAAGATTGACGCTACATTGTGTTTATGATCAATTGTACCATTAGTTAGCTGGGGTTTTTTTTCTTTTATTAAAACAGCCCCGTAGTAAGCAAATTCAGTTTGGGGGGCATAGCCATA